CAAAGCAAATCAAACCCAAACTCCCACTTATCAAGTGCTGTGTCTTTTCACCTTTCTCTCCTCACCCCACTTGAGTATTTACAGTAATTTAGTGATGTGAAGTCTTTGTGATAGTCCCATTTTACACACAGAAAAAATAGGTCCCAAACACCTTAACTACCTTGCTTGAGACCATGTGACTAGACAAGGCCAGCACAGCACAGTGCTGCAATCCAAACCTGATTACCCCTAACATTCCAAGGAGTCATTTTCACTGAGAAATGATGAAACTAAAGGACATACACATCTTCAAGATAGAAGACATAAATCTTTATTTAAGGAACAGCTATGGGCTTGGGATACAACTCAGTGGTAGTCTGTGGCCTTGGCCTGGTCTACAGAGAGTTCCAGGACAGCCAGGGCTACATAGAGAAACCCTGTCTTGAGAAACCAAACCAACCAGACAACCCCCCCCCCAAAAAAAGGCAAAGAAAAACAAAACAAAAGCCCTCAGCCATATGTGAGTTTAGATGTTTAAAAAAATACTGAGTGTGATTAGAGAAATGCATGTTTTTCTTCAGTTTTTGGTGTGTGTGTGTGTGTGTGTGTGTGTGTGTGTGTGTGTGTGTGTATGAATGTCCTTTGAAGGTCAGAATTTTGTGTTTTTTTGAGACAGTCTTATTATATAGCACTGGCTGACCTGAAATTCACTATGTAGACCGGGTTGGCCTTGAATTTGTGCCTCCTTAGTGCTAGGATTACAGGTGTACACTGCCATACAAGCCGAGTCTTCAGTTTTCAGCCCCTGAGTTTTTATTCTAACCTTGGCCTCTCAGCTTTCCGAAAGAACCAGCATCCTTGCCTTACCTTGGGAATTGCCATCATCAAGCTGGTTCAGAACTTGGAGCAGGTTACCCTCCCAGGCTCCAGGCTGGTTTCCTAGACGTGCTCAGGCTTTCCACTTGTCTCAAAGAACCTGCTTTTCCCTGTAGGTTCTAGGTTCTTCTCTTTCTTCCTTCCCTTTCCGCGTGTGCACGTGTGTGTGTGTGTGTGTGTGTGTGTGTGTGTGTGTGAGTATGTGTGTGAGCAGCTGCACATATGAACTCAGAGCAGTTATGGCAACATGTACAAGCCCAGTGTAAGCTCAAGCCAAACCCAATCTCTGCGGGGAGAAGGGAGCTAGACACGAAGTCTTACCCCTAGCCTGGGATCCATTGGGAACTGATGCTGTCGGGAGGGAGAAAGTCAGTTTCTTCAACAGCATTGTTCCTGGGAGGTTGACCATGCTCCCGTGGAAGGCCACACCATCCCTGAATAAATGGGCACAGCAAACTGAACATGATGTGGGAAAAAAAAAAAAAAGAGGGACACAAAGTTGGTTAGGTAGGGAAGGGAGGTGGATCCAGAAAGAGTTGGGGGTGTTGATTGGTCATAATTCATTATGTCTCAAAAAAGTAATTTTTTTAAAAAGGAAAAATGTTTTTAAAAGGAAATAAAAGAAAAAAGAATTAGTAGGCTAGCCATAACAAAACCTCATGTACCCTCATAGAACTCCTTAGAATGCCACTGTGCATCTGTATCCTTCACAGGGTCTTTTGTCTCATGCTTCCAGCAATCTAGGTTGTGCTAATCTTCTCACACCCATTTTATCCACTGAGATCCAGACAGATGAAGTACGTTCCTGAGTTCATACAACAGAGCTTGGTCTCAAGAAAGACAGATGAGAGGCTGGAGAGGTGGCTCAATGGTTAGGAGTACTTGTTCTTACAAAGGACCTAGGTTCAGTTCCCAGCACCCACATGGTGGTTCACAGTCATCCATAACTCCAGCTTCAGGGGATCCAAAGCCCTCTTCTGACCTCATCAGGCACCAAGCATGCACATGGTATACAAACATACATTTGAGCAAAGCACTCATACACATAAAAATGAAATAAATCAATGGATGGTGGTGGCGCATGCCTTTAATCCCAGCACTTGCGAGGCAAGAGGCAGGCAGATCTCTGTGAGTTCAAGGCCAGCTGTTTAAGACCCGGTCCCCTGGTCACCACACCTGCTGTGTGCTCTCCCTCCTGCCTTCCAGGAGTTACTTTCCTTTGCTTATTAAACCTGGACTTGGCCGGGGCAGTGGTGGCGCACACCTTTAATCCCAGCAATCAGGAGGCAGAGCCAGGCGGATCTCTGTGAGTTTGAGGCCAGCCTGGTCTACAGAGAGAGATCCAGGACAGGCACCAAAACTACACAGAGAAACCCTGTCTTGAAAACAAAACAAACAAACAAACAAAAAAAACCCTGGACTTATTAATTCAGCTTGATTGGCTTATTGCATTGGCAGAGGAATACCCGGGATCCAATACTTATCACAAATAAACAAAAGTAATAAAAGGTTAAATTTTATTATTTAAGCACAACACATACAATCTAGTTGACAGAGTGGGAATAATTCTTCAAAACCATTAGAACCCTTTCTCTCTAATGGTGGTAAAGGTTAGGGGAGTGGAGGAATTGGTGCGGCCTGGTATAGGAAATGAGTAAGAACTGCTTCCAGTGGCCCATTAGCTGCACTCCTTGAAAGGGAAAAATGCATAATTTGTTAACTGAGTTACATAATTCCAGTGACATCATTTATAATAGACTTGTACAGACTGAGCTGATCAGGTTGTAAGGGGCTTTGAATGCCACACTAGGGAGACTGGATAAAATCCTATGGCCATTGTGGGTTATGAACGGTTTTACAGTCAGGATATGACTTAAACAAATTAACTGTAGTTCCGAATGTCTGTCACCATGTATCTGTTTGGGGTGGAGTTTGTAAAGAACCATCAGTAAAAGCCGGTCTTCCCTGAAGCAAGCTCATGTTGTGTTTCTTGTTACTCATGTTCAGGAGAGCGTTAACACTGACTATGTGTATTGGGAAGATGTAGACACAGATCTGACAAGTCCTTTGTAGATATCTGTGGAGCATATTCAGAGCTCAGAGATGCATACATGCTCTGGCCAGAGGGAATCAAGGAAAGCCTCCAGGAGGAAGTCGGTAAGAGGAAGCCAGTTTCTGAAAGAGTAGGAAGTGAGCGAGCAGATGAGGAAGCTGGAACGTGGTGAAATAAGGACTCTGTGGGCAGTTTGGCTATAGGGGAGGGTCAGGGCCCCATGGTAGAGAGCTTTATGTGCCCAGTCGAGGGACTTACGTCTCCTTCCTGAAGGTGATGGCAAACTATTAAGGGCTGATTAATAACAGGATGATGAAGCCATGATGGATATCGGTTATTGTGGCTTGAAAGAAGCTATGGAAAGGGAATGGATGGTGTGTTTTCAAACCCCCCCCCCCATAGTTTGGCAAACGATTCATTTCTGTAAATGTCATCTGGTGATACTGGTTGATAATGCTCGTTTGGTCTTTTATACATTTTATAATTTGCCGTCTGTCTCATTTTAATGAGTTACTTAGGTTGTTCTCTTAACTCACTAGGTTGGCTTTGAACTCCCTGTCTTCCTGCCTCAGTCTCCAGAGGGTGGGGATTACCGAACGCTCCCCCACATTCTAGGCCGGATCCTTTACCAACGGATTTGTCTATTGCTCCTTTTGACTGACAGCTTGGTGGTTAGGTAAATACACATGGCGGTGACGGTAGAACATTTGCTTGGGATCGTAAAAAAAAAAAAATGTTTTATCGCTTTAAATTTACTACAGAATGCAGAAACTAAGAATCACTATGTAACTAGCAGGCCTGGTGAAGCCTAGGACAAAAGAAAAAAAAAAAAGTCTGGCTATTCGGCAACGCCCCTTGGCAAGGCAACTGCTACCAGCCAGCCAATCGGTGAGATACTCACCTGCGGGGGCGGGGACTCCCCAGGAGCCAATGGGAGGTCGGGCCGATGGTTCCGCAGGCCAATGGGTTGGGCAAGGGGGCGGGCTCTTTGATGAAGGGCCGGCGGTGGGAAAGATGGCGGCGTGTGTGAGACCCTCCTGGTGGCAGCGGTGGCGGCTGCGCGCGTGGGCTCGGGACGGGGCCATGCTATGGCTCCTTCTCCTTTTGTTGGGGTCTGTGCAGGGGCCGTGGCACGTCAGGGCGGGCCAAGCGGTGGAGTACTTGAAACGGGAGCACTCGCTGTCGAAGCCCTACCAGGGTGAGGCGCCCGGGACGAGGTGGTCGCGCAGGGGAGGGCGGGCATGGGGACAGTGCGCTCGGGGACGCCGGTCAGGGTAGCTCCGCAGACGCTGTCACCAGCGGGAGGGGGCGCCCCCGAGGATCCCCGCCGCTTCGATGAGCCAACAGGTCCCAAGGACAGGGTCCGCCCCCACCCCCGTCCCTCTCCGAGCGCTGGAAGTTTCTAGTAGGTCTAGGCAGAGCTCTCAGATGTCACCAGTGTCGGGCTCAGGGGAAGGAGTTTGGATTTGGACAGAAAAAAGTACGAGAAGGAGAGAGAGTAAGCAGGGATGATTGAGGACCGTTAGCGATGAGCCAGTGTCGGGATGGAGAGGTGGCTGCCCTAGAAATAAAAGCAGGAGAAAGAACCGGGTAGAACTTGGTCGGAGTAAGAAAGGAGAAACAAAGTCTGTTTGCTGTTGAGAACACCTGCTCCTTCCCAGGCCGCGAGCTCTGATGATGAAAGAGGCTGCTTAGCTTTGCTCTCTTCGGGGATTTCTAGGTCTCTAAGCACAGCTCAATGCCAGAAAATTGACACAGGTGTCTACAAAGAAGAGAAATTAGTGCAGATAGCTTAATACGAGTTTGTTTTTCCCACAGAGCTGCGGATATGGGGGTGCAGAAAACAAGATTCAAACCGCAGAAAGCTACACGCTATTGCTACGATTTCATTTATTTAGCAAGGTCTACCGAGTACCTCCTTAGCGTTGGTCCCTGCTGATACTATGGGTTAGACTGGGTTTCAACCTGGAGATACTTATAGTTCGAGAGACTTGGGGAAGAATCAGCTTCACATTTGAGAGACTGATTTTAAATGAAGAATATGATTAAGCCCACAGCTTTTGAGGGTCAATCTTTTTTGGTATAAATGAGAAAAATCTTGCTGAAGTTTACCTACACATAAAATGGGAAGACTGGATCTGAACTAGGGTTACTGTGCCATGCATAAATGACAGCTCCGAGGTGCGTTGGGTTCACCTGAAGGACTTAGCTAAAGGAAGCCTGGTGTGATGGCAAGCACCTGTGGTCTCAGTGGTTCAAGCAGCTGAGGCAGAAGGATTGCATGAGTGCAGGAATCTGAGATCAGCCTGGGTAACATATTAAGATCCCATCTCAAAAAAAAAAAAAAAAGGTTTATTTATTAATACTGAAAAAAAAAAGATAATGGCTGCAACTTTGGTAGGATCTGTGGTGGCTTTGTGAACTAATTGATGAAGAATATGAGTTGATGTATTCCCTCCCATAGGTGTGGGAACGAGCAGTTCTTCGCTGTGGAACCTGATGGGCAATGCCATGGTGATGACCCAGTATATCCGACTCACTCCAGATATGCAAAGTAAACAGGGTGCCTTGTGGAATCGGGTGGTAAGAGGCTTCCTGTGTTAGGACCCTGAATGTCCTAAAAAAGCTCAGAAGTGACCTTGGGTTTACCATCTTTTCCCAGTGCCCATCTTCTAAAGATAATGCAAGTCTTTAGAGGGCTGGAGAGATGGCTCAGTGGTTAAGAGCACTGACTGCTCTTCCAGAGGATCCGGGTTCAATTCCCAGCACCCACAGCTTACAAAACCAGTTCCAGGGCAGCTGACACCCTCACGTAGACATACACGCAGGCAAAACACCAATGCACATAAAGTAGAAATAAATAAAAAAAAGTAAAAGTCTTTATTTCAGAGATAATGGTGAACTTCATAATAAAGAAATCAGATATTTCTCTGTTGCCCTGTTGTTAGAGCAAATAATTCAGCTTTTCATTAGCCTGACATACCATGTTTTGGGGTTTAATAGCTTAAATATTATTTAATTACTTTGTAAAACAGAAAACTATTGTTTTGTTGCTGTTACTGTTTTTGTCGTTTGCTTCTTGTCATGTAACCCAAGCTGTCCTTGAACTTGGTAATAGCCCAGGCTGGCCTCAAACCTGTGATCCTTCTGATTCAACCTCTCTGCTCTGGATATGGTATATGCACTTGTAGTTGTAGTTACTTGGGGGACTAAGGCAGGGGAATCAGTTAAGCCCAGAAATTCAGTCTCAGCCTGGGCAACATAGCGGGACACTACCACTAAATATATACTTGCTAAGAAGCATTGAGAAATTCAGCTGGGTAGTGGCGGCGCACGCCTTTAATCCCAGCACTCAGGAGGCAGAGCCAGGCGGATCTCTGTGAGTTCGAGGCCAGTCTGGGCTACAAAGTGAGTTCCAGGAAAGGTGCAAAACTACACAGAGAAACCCTGTCTCGAAAAACCAAGAAAAAAAAAAGAAAAAGAAATTCATAAATCCCCGCCTTTAATCCCAGCACTCAGGAGGCAGAGCTAGGAGGATCTCTGTGAGTTCAAGGCCAGCCTGGTCTACAGAGCAAGATCTAGGACAGCCACCAAAACTACACAGAGAAACCTTGTCTCGGGGGAAATAAAAAAAAAAGAAAGAAAGAAATACATATATCCCAAATTTAATCCTAATAGCCTTCCCTCGTTTCAGTCAAGAGTTTAAGTTTCTATTTCAGTGTGACAATCACTTTGAGCTATTCTAGTCGTTGTGTTTGTCCTCTGGACCCTTTCTAGTTGTCTTCCTTGAGATATGATGGCAAGAAGTGAGCACCTGGTATGGCTGCACTGTGGTTTTGTGCAAGTGTAAGATGATCCTTTTCGTTTTCCAGGTCCTTCCTAAACATTCACAACCCTGTTACTTTTAGGGATAACTTTGGCATCCATTGATATTTTCTCCTGGGCTCCTATAAATGAGGGTGGGAAAATCTTACACTCCCATGGTTTTTCTCATTAGCTGTAGATGCTGTGAGTGGGTCTCATAAAAGAGGACTTTCTTTTTCCTGTTCATTTTTCTCTGAGAGTTCTAAAGGAACAGAGGGCCAAGAGCACTTGTTCTGTGAGCCATCTGCACAGGCTGGCCCTGTAACCTAGATTGTAGTGCTGAGCTCAATATGGGGCATGGCAGAAGATGCTAGAATCAGTTGACTGACTTGGATCCTAAACCCAATTTGGTTACCCAGCCACCATGAGCCCTAGGTAGGTCGCTTAGCCTCTCAGTTTTCTATGCCTTCATGAGACTGTTTGACTTGCCCGTCTGAGTTGTCAGACAGTGGACACGAAAAGACTTGGTGCAAAGTTTACTACAAGAGTAACAGAAATATATGCTATTATTAGACCTGCTCTCAGTTGCATCCATGTACAAGGATTAAAGCCTTAATCTATAAGACTCTGATACCTATATTCTCAACAGAATGAAACCAAGGAATTATTTTTGAGCTATTAGAGTAGGATATATAGTTTGCGCAAGTGTTTCTCAAATTTGGCTGTCCACTGGAGTTTATGCCTGGATCCCATCCCAGATTTAATTGGAATAGGTTGCAATTTGGTCATTGGGTCTCTCCCTCCCCCAAGGTTTCTCTCTATAGCCCTTGCTGTCCTGGAAATCACTGGAGACCAGGTTGGCCTTGAACTCAGAGATCCACCTGCCTCTGCCTTCCGAGTGTTGGAATTAAAGGCGTGCAACACCACTACTGGCTAGGTCATTGGGGTTTTCAAACATGCAGCAAAGTTTCAGAACCACTGTTAAACAAAACTGTATAGCATTGTGATGCCCAAGGCCAAGAATTAGTGGCAAATACCTCCTGACTCTATCCTCTACCTTGCCTTCTTCCCAGAGCTATCATACTGCCTCTGGCTGCAGGACAGCTTTCTGCCACTGAAGTCTTTCTTGCCCTCAAAGCTAAATGAAACAGCAGAGAGATAACCCAAAATGAAAAGACAGAATAGGGCAGACTATTGGAGATATCAGGGCTCCCTGCTGTGAAAAAGTGTCCGACCTCTTTTCATTTTGACTCTGTATTCCTAATGCTAATTCTTTTGGATGATGTCCCAGGAATTAAAAACAAACAAACAAAAAACTGAAAATGATCAAGCAATGTGTTGCTCAAGGCCCAGAACAGGCTCTTGGAAAGCCTTTGGCTGAACCTGGCCAAACCCGGCTGAACCCTTCCCTCCTTTCTTCACAGATTTTCACTAGAGCCTCCCCCAACCAATACTGTACTCACTGTGTTCCTCCTGAAAACACTAACTGTGCGGAACACTAAGCCAGCCACTCCCCGCTTCTCTGTTTTTATAAGGTTTTGATACTCAGTCCCAAAACTGGACAGAAGTCTGAGTGACACCCATCTCCTTAGTGTCTGTCCTCCCACCCCCAAGAGGCTGTCCCAGTGGAAGGGGATGGCATTTGCCTCTGGCACACTTCTGCTTCCTGGCCATGGGCACAAAGGTTTTGGGAACTGTTGCTTACTATTTGTTCTCTTGGGAACTCAAGCTTGCCCCTCAGCTTGGCCAAATGCCAGCTTTAGCTAATTAGAGTTCTTCATAGCATCTGCTAATTACCCCTGGAAACCTCTTAGCTCTTCTTACTCTTTTTTTTTTCCTTTTTTTTTAATGAATGAGGCTTTGACCTTTCTTTGAATCCCAGCTTTTTAGAGTCCTTCTGTCAGAGGAATAAACTTCAGTTGCAAACAGGTATTAAGTCAACCCTCTTTACCCAGTTGACTGAGATGTGCTGCTGGGTAGATGTCGATCATGGGAGACTAACATGCCTTTTCTAGCTTGCATGTACTATCCTGTTTCTGCTGGAAGATGTGAGGATAATCAGATGGTTTACTTAACCTTTTATCCACAGTACCTTAAACAGTTGAATGGCTCAGTCTGTTCAGTTTTATGGCAGGAATACTTCCAAAGTCTTAGATACCATTTTAACTTTAGCCTTGTTACCAAAGCCACTTTCCAAGTCTGTAGATTGCTGCTGAGGGCTAATGGGTTTCAAATTTCACACTCCTCCCTTACACCTCTGTCTTCCTCATGTTAGCCATGTTTCCTGAAAGACTGGGAACTGCAGGTGCACTTCAAGATCCATGGACAAGGGAAGAAGAATCTGCATGGAGACGGCTTGGCAATCTGGTACACAAAGGATCGGATGCAGCCAGGTATTAGGGACCCTGGGTTGCTTCTGCATGGGTGTGTCAGGACTGTTTATTCCTGTGACCTCTTTTTGAAAAGGGCCCTTCTAGTTTTCTCTCTTTTCATGTCTGTAAATGAACATTAGCCCATTGAGTCTCTAAAATGGGGTTTTGAATCCTAAGCAGTCTGACCTTGGCTCATCCTGCGATGATTTCTTGCTTGTTGGTTTCTTCTGTGTTTCCCTGTGAAGCCTAGCCATTGGCTGGCTGAGTGCACACTGGAGGCCAGTGAGCTGGTTTCTTCTGGACATCCACACTCAACAATCTCAGCACTTGAGTTAAGAGAAGAATTTTGTTTTCCTTGCTGTTGTTGGAGTCAGTGCTCCAAGTGGATGGCAGGCTGAACCTGATTTGACCTGATCTCTTGCAGTGAGAAATAGAACTTGGGAATTCAGTTCTCTCTTGGGGGCATAATCTTCACCGGGTGTTTGTGAAGCAGAATTCTGTAGGTAGGAGTGTCTTAGCAACCAGTTTGGATCAGGGAGCTACTGTAGTACCAAACAAGGTTGCAGTGGCCTTCCCTCTTTTCCTGCCTTCAGCAACAAACAACTTGAGCTGTTCGTGGGCCCAGCTGTCGGTCATGCACTTTGTTGGGTGCTTTTGTGTGTGTGTGTGTGTGTGTGTGTGTGCTCATCGTAGGAAATGCTTGGGTCATTTGACTATCACCGTTTCCTCTGCCATATAAGATGTTAGCCCTTTGTCAACTCCTGGCTTTATGTCATTGTTCATCATCTCTTCTCTCTCTCTAGGGCCTGTGTTTGGAAACATGGACAAATTTGTGGGGCTGGGAGTGTTTGTAGACACCTATCCCAATGAGGAGAAGCAGCAAGAGGTAATGGCGAGTGTCAGAGCTTAGGGCAGCCACACTGATCTGTCTCACAGTTCTTTCCCTCAGGGCCAGTGTGCAGGAAAAGACGGGAGAGGCAGTGAGGCCCCATCTGTTGACCTTCCGAAGTTAATGTCCTTGGCATTTTTGTTGTTGTTGTTGTTTTCCTGGAGAGGACTGTTGGTGATCCCAGCAGTCCTTCAGGAATAATGTCACACTGGGTGCTTTTTCTATAGTGCCTGTAATGTTCTCACTCCTTTCCATAAGGTAGCCCCTGGAATTGAGCACCTGTGACTGGTGGTGTCTTGGCTCCTAGGTTAGGGCCAGAGCAAGGGGAAAGATGAGTGCCTGGAACTTTTGACCATTAATGTGTACTCTCTTTGGCCACTTGCCCTGTCCAGCATCTTTAGCTTCTTTTGAGGCAGGTCCTGTCACTTATAAGGAATGGTGTAAGAAAAAAGAAGTTGGTGAAACCACAGCATTTATTTATAATAATAATAATGTCTCACTATGTAGCCCAGGCTGACCTTGAACTAATCATAATCTTCATCTTCAGCCTTTTGAGTCCTGGGATTATAAATGGGGCCACTACACCTGCCTCAAATCTAACATCCTGTTGGAACCCAATGTCTAGACACCACAGAGCTTATTGACCATCCCTGAGGATTCTTTAGCACTTCCTTAACTGGCACAGGACTATATCCTCTCCTGTGGCATTGTCATCAGATGGTAGAAAAATGGCAAGTTGTTACTGGGTACCCTACAGAAGGCAGAGTTGGTAATGGAGATGGTGATCACTTATTGTTCCCCAAGGATTTATCAGGAAAAGTTTAAAATGTGACCACTATACATGCGACACTCAGGTGTACCAGTCAGGATTTCCCACTGTTCATGTTAGAGGAGCTGGAAAGTGAGACCTATGTTAGGTGAGTAACCTTCCATTGTGGGTCAGTTCGAGTTGTGTTTCCATGTTTCCTCTGGGCTCCTCTTTGTTCCAGGTTTGTCACACCCTTGTTAGATGCCAGGGCCTGGGAATTCACAAGACCAGAATAGTCTCTGTGCTCTGGAAGTGTGGAGATTGGTGGAGACTCCGGGGTACTTTGAGAAGACAGTAGACTCATTGAATCATGACGTGGCAGTCGTGGTGGCCACAAAGCCCTCCTCCAGGAGATATCATTTACACTGAGGTCTGCAGGATAAGGAGCCAGTGTCCAGGATGAGGGAAAGCATATATTAAGGCACTCTGAGGGGTATAAGAAGGACGGGGGTGTAAGGGAATACAGAGCATCAAACAGAGCCTAGAAAGAAAGCTGCCAGCAGCCTTGTGAGGTTACACATTTGGGAGCTGCCTTCTTGACTGTTCATTCTCCTCCCTCTTAGGCACATCAGCCACACTGAGACTGTGTGCCTAAGTGGTTGGTCAGCATTGAAACAATCACAATGTGATCCCTCTTTAGCAATGACTAAACAGAGAAGCTGTCTTGTTCAGGGCAGCAGCTATTGTAGGCTCTACCCATTCTGAGGCTTTCTTCAATTCTGATGCTTTCCCTCCACCCATCCGTTGTCTTCCTGTCCATTGAGTTTTTTCTTGAGAGAAGAGACATTAGGTAATTTCATATGTGTGATTTCAGTTCTTTGAGCTTCTATTCAGTCCAGAGAATGTAGAAAATTGTCTTCTTTTCCATGTCTGGAGGATAAAATCAAATATGTTTTGTCAGTGGTGTGGTTTACTCTTATGTGCAAGGGTGCCAGGCTTTGTTCCACGTGTATTATTTCCTTGTAGCGACTCTTTGTTACAGTTATTACCATCTCTGCTTTGTGGGTAAGAAACTGAAGTGCAGAAGAAAGTTTGTAAAGCTTGTTGGTGTCTTAGATCTGACTCCAAGAACTCCACTTCCATTATTTTGGCTTCTTAGGTATGGTAAGAAAAGCAGAAGTGACAAAAGGAAGCCCAGGAAAACTGGGCTCCATCAAAAGTAGTAACTTGGGACTGGAGAGATGGCTCAGCAGTTAAGAGCAGCAGGTCCTCCTGCAAAGGGCCTGGGTTCAGTTCCCAGTACCCACAAGGTGGCTCACAACCATCTATAACTCTAGTTATGTGGATCCCATGCCCTCTTCTGACCTCTGCTGGCATGCATATGGTGCACAGACAGGCATGCAGGAATGACACTCAGACACATAAAATAAATCTAAAGTTAAAAAATCTTTTTGTTTGTTTGTTTTCAAGACTGGGTAGTTTTGGTGCCTGTCCTGGATCTTTCTCTGTAGACTAGCCTCAAACTCAGAGATCCGCCTGGCTCTTCTGGGATTAAAGGCGTGTGCCACCACTGCCTGGCCTAAATTTAATTTTTTAAGGTAATAATTTATGTGCTTCAAAGCACACTATCAGGAGGAGGGCTGGTGTCAGAGCTCAGTAGAGTATTTTTCTCATGTACAAGGCCCTGGATTCAGGCCCCAGCACTGAGAGCACACCAAGAAAGTGAAATCACCTGTAGGGTGGGAGAAATACATGCAAATTGTACTAACCCACTTCTAGAATATATAGAGAATTATCATATAAATAACTTGTAACTTAAAAACAAGCCGGGCAGTGGTGGCACACATCTTTAACCCCAGCACTCGGGAGGCAGAGGCAGGCCAATCTCTGTGTGTTCAAGGCTAGCCTGGTCTATCAAGTGAGTTCCAGGAAAGGTGCAAAGCTACACAAAGAAACTCTGTCTCGAAAAAAACAAAAGACAAAAAATAAATAAATAAAATAAAATAAAAACAAGCCAATAAAATAATAGGCAAAGGGTCTGAATAGATATTTATCTGAAGGTGATAAATAAATGGCCACTAAACATTAAAAGATGTTCTACATCATTAATTTTTGGAGACACAGATGAAAGCCTAAACCACTAGAATGCAAGTGAAGAGCTGTACATGTTGAAAGGATATGATGTCATTTGGAACCCACGTATACTGCTTGTGGATGTATAAAATTATATAGTTGGAAAAGACATTTCTTCAGATGGCTGAAGATAGAGATTCTCTTATCCCGTGAATCCACTTGCATATGTATAGCCAAGAGAAATAAAAGCATCCACGAAAAAGCTTGTCCACAGATGTTCATAGTAGCCAAAACAGATACAACTCAGATGTTCATCAGCTGAAATCCTCAGTGAGAACAGAAGTATTGCTGTGGGTTCCAGTGTGGGTGACGTGGTTACAAGAGAAAAGCCAGTCACAAGGGTCCTGCTTATTGTGTGAGCCCATCCCTATGAACTGTGGTCAGATCCATAGAGACATGGTAGATGAGTG